AAAAATACTATTTAAAATTTTAATAATTTTTATATAATATAAATACACGAATTATATATTTGTTAATTTTAAATTTATGAGTGTTATTTTCCGTAAATCACACAAAAAATGGAAGAAAAAGTTAGGCATGAATATAAAGATGTTGGCCAAAAAGAGTAATTGTGGTCTTGTACACAAAATCCATACCAAATTAGATTCACACTTATGTTTAGAGGAAACAAGGAAAATGGTAAAGGCAAATTTGTTCAAACGTCATCATCATCAAAAAGGATGACCCAACAATACTCAAATTTAGGGGCAATGTGATTATTTATGAGCTTATGGATGAAAGTTACTATATTAATCTTATACTTTTATCACGTGATAAGGTCAGTCCATTATTTGCAATGAACATGAATGGCATGTGGCTCATGGCTGTTATAATCGAATAAGCCAAAAACAAAGTGAGTCACATGGTTTACACAATTCAAAAATTCAAACCCTATGCAAACAACTCTGTTAATATTTAATTTTATTGATTAGCATTTAATTTTTGACAATTTTGAATAAAAAAAATCAATCATTATAGAGCCATTAAAAGCTATTTATCTCTATTTGCAAGTATTAATATTTTGGATATACTCAAATTCAGGTCAAGCGAAAAATAAATAAATTGCATAAAAAATACGAACCAAACTTTTTTTTTTTTTAACTTATGTATTTCCTGTTTAAAAATCAATCGTAAAACATGGAAAATAATGTAATAAATTATATTAATTTGCAGCCGCAATTCTTTGTGATTGTTGGATAACTAAATTTATAATTTTCATTTACATAAAAATATATTATATTATATTATAACCCGCACGAAATAATTTTATTTATTTAATATAAATATATATATTAGTTTTTTTAATTATATTTATATCTTTAAAATCTATAACATATATAAAATTTATATATATTGACTTATCATTAAAAAAATAAAACTTTCTAAAAATAGTAAGAACGAAATTATATCTTTCTTTTGGATATTTTTATTTATAATAATATTTATACACTTATAAAATTATATCAAATAAAAATAAATTATGCCTTTTTAAAAAAAAATAAAAATATATATTACTAAATATAAGTTAAATAATAAAAAAAGTATTAACATATTTTCAATTTAGTAATCTTAACTAAATTATTTTACAAAATATGAAAAATATTTTTAAATATGTGAAAGAAGAAAAAATAAATTTAAAAAAATATTATTTTTCATAAGAATAAAACTGTAATAACAATAAAATATATCTTGAAAAAAAGTTATAAACAAAAATAAAATTACAATAGTAATGAAATATACCTTAAAAAATTACTGAAAAATTTTAAAAAATGATATATAACACATTACATTTATAGCCTCATTTACATAAGAATTCTTTAGTGACAAACAGGATTAAATTGATAATTTTTAAATTAATTTTTTAAAATTTAAAATAGATATAATATGTAATAAAGATAATATTAAATATTTTGCATTTATTTGAAATATAAATTTGATAATAAAAATTCAAATGGATATAATTATTTTGATGATTTTATTTTTCAAAAACTAGCTTGTAACCCATACGATGCATGAATTAATTTATTTATTTAATTTGAAATTATAATTATGAAATGATATTAAATTTTAAATAAATATATGAACAAAATATAAAGGTATTATTCAAAAATATTAAATTCCTTATTTTTTGAAAATTTTTAAGTGAAAATGGATAATCAATCTCTTCATAAACTATTTTCAAATTTTGTGTAATTATCAAATTTAAACTTGAAAATAATGCATTTAAATTTATAAAATAATAGAAAGTCCTGAAAAATAAACACTTTCTAGGCTTAAGGATATAAATTGTATAATGTTTAAAAATATAATGAAATACAAATGAATTAAATTATCATTCATAATTAAAAATAAATAATTTCATTTTCACTTTAATTATTTTATCATTTATATTTAAATATCTATATTTAATGAAAAAATTATTATATTACAAAATTAAAAAAATAATACATTTTTTATTATTTGAACAATTTGATTCAAAAAGTAAAAAAGTTATATATATTGTAGATAATTATCTTCAAAAGTCTTATAGGAAAATTTTTTTTTTATCTCTATCTCAATGTTAAGTTATTAATATAAGATGATAAAGTTTAGTAGCAAAGTAGATGTCCTTATCATCTTATAAAGATTAATATTTTTAATAAATAAAAGCAAATGGTATTTTATCATTTCCATAATTTACTTTTTTACTTGTACCATAACTGTACCACAATAGAGTACCCTAACTCAAAATTTTCACTCTTACATTTTATGGATACAACATTTAGCAATACAAAACAAACAAATAAACCTAATATAAGATTATTTTATTATTACATTGTAAAGATTAAAGGCGTCTTAAGTTTTAATATCAAAACGAACATACTTTAATTATTACTTATTACAATAATCTAGTTAAACAAAATGTAATATTTAAATATTGTCATTATAATTTTTATTGATTTTTACTTGATAAAACTGTTGTTTTGTTTAATGGGATGCTCGATTTTGAAATTTCAATTCCTTAATTGGATATAGGATATATTATTCCTGAAAGCGAGTTTTAGAAGAAGGCCATTATAGCGCAAAAATCTCACAAGTTAATGACAAAATTATAATTACTGATCAAATAGAACGAAATTGGTAAAATAATTTTTGTCACACTTATATTTTTTAAAGAGAATATCAATTGCCGATGAAAACCCTCAAAGCTCTAGATTAGATGTTTTGAAATTAAAATTTCTTTCAACCATTAACCAGCTGCTAAAAATTAAAATAATAAATTTTTAAAATCAAAGAATAATATATGCAACTAGTAATGAATGAAAAAGATTAATATGATATTTTATTTTGATACAACTACGACTAATGCCATTAGTATGTGCAATTGATGGATTAAATGAGTAATAAGAGAAATTTATAGCAAGAATATTTTTTTGAGGTGGAATATGGCATCTATGAAATAGTGAAATAAATAATATTTGGTCTTTTAAAATTTATTAAGAAATTTATAAAAATAAAATTATATTTAAAATTAATTTAAAATAAATATATTTAGATTGTTAAAGATATATTCAAATTATATATATTTAAAAAGAGATCATATATCTAGATTATAGATAAATATAAATTATATATATTTTTTAATTTTAAATGAGATATATAGATGGTTTAATAGTTCATTTTTTTCAAAAACAACAAAATTATTGATTTTATTTTAAATGTATTTGAAAAAAGTGAGTTTGGTATAAATTTTATTTGATTTAAATTAAAATAAAATCTTGAAATATTAAAATAAATATAGTTTTTAAACTTTCAAATGTTTTTAAAAATAAAATAATTATTAAATGAGATTATTTGGTTAAAAATTTAAAATAAATTGAATTTTTACATGTCAAAAATATAAGTTATTCATGTAAGTATGAATGTGGCATATCTTATAATGTATCCATGCATTATGTAATATAATATATATATATATATATATTATATTAGATTTAAGATGAAAATTTTTTGAATTTTCAAAATCTTACATAAAATTATTTGAATTTTTAATGTTTTACGTAAATTTTAAAAAAATATAATTTTTTTAAAATCAAGATAAAAAAATTTGGTAAAAATTTTGGATAAACTTAATATTTATAAATTTTAAATGTGTTTAAAAGATTTTGATAATTAAATATTTTTTTTAAATAAAGTTATTTGGTAAACAACTCAAATTATTTATTAAAAATAAAATTCATATTTTAAATTTTTAATTTAAAAAAATATCTAAATTGATTTTATTTTCAATTATAATTTAAATAATTTTGATATTTGAATAAATTTAAAATTATATAATTTTTAATTAAAACAAGTTATATTTTTTAAAAAACTATCTTATATGTCATTTAAAAAATTGTTCACATAGACGTCTAAGTGACAAACTTATTTATGCATTAAATTATATAATATATATTAAATTTGAATTAATATTAATTTTAAACTAAATTGTTAATTATTGACCAAATAAATATGTTTTTTTTTCTTATTCGTTTTTAATGTTTAAAAACCTAAATAAAAAATCTCAATAATGTACAAATGTATTGCCAGAGTTACGTCACTTTTGTTATTTCCGCAGTTGCATTCGAAAAATAATTTGCAATACCCAATTTTTCATTGGGATTGACTTCTTTTTTTTTTTTTTTTCATTTAGAGCTATATATATTCACAATAATTCTTTACCATTCAATAATTGCACCATGCTTTCTTTTCGCACACGCAAAAAAAATTTTGCTTGAGTCATGCATTTTTTTTTTCCAAATACATAAATAATTTAAAAGAATAATTTTATTTTATATTATTTTGGACCTTTCCACTACTCATAAATTGTATGAATTTTAATAAAAAATAATTTTATGAGTATTTGTATTTTTATGAATAATCGAACCACCAAATTTAGTACATTATTATTTTTTATTTGGTAAGAATTGAATTTAAATTATGTTTTTTTTGTAAAAAAATTATGAATCAAATATTTAAATACAAATTTCAAACATTTTAAATATTTTTTATTTTTCAATGCATCAATGAATGAATCGAATATTCGAATGCAACTATAAATGAATTGTGCTTTTTACGTAAAGGATAATGGGTCATTTATTAGTATAATTTATTTTTTAAATAGTGTTATATATATTTTTTGAAGAATATAGTTTACATGCCTTAACATATATATTTTTTTATTTTTAAAAATATAAGTTAATAATTGGGCCATAAAAAGCGGTTTTGGGTTGTATCATGGCATCAATCCATTCTATCGCTCTTAAATTTCCTCCCTTTCGTTTTTTAGCCCAAAACTCACACCACCAAAAGCCCAAACCCAGCCCCAAAAAGAAAGCCACTTCGCACTCAAGCATGATCTATAAAAACCCTAGAGTGTCTTTATATTTGTTAGATGGTTAGATTTGCGGAAAACCTAAAATTTGTCTAGCCGCCGCATTCGAGGTCCGAGTTCACTGAGACAGAGGTAAGCGCTTCTCTGCACTTTTTGGCAAACCCAAACCAAAGCCCTTTTAATTTCTTTGCTGAAATACTGTTGGAAAGGACCAGTTTTTTTTTTTGTCAAAAATTTGAATTTTCATTGGTTGTTTTTCTGTTTTGCTTGAATTTTATTAGCTAATTGTTCATATCTGCATTGATTTTGTTTTATTAGACCTTGAAATGACGTGGTACTGGCTCAATTTCCATTTTTTTAGCAATGATTGCTTATTAGAAGAAATGGGTTTTCTTCGTGCTTAGGTTTGTAGGTTTTATCTAGTAACAAGCTTTATTAAGTCAACCCATTTGGCCATTTCATTGTTTCTATTTTGTGTTTATGTTTTGAGGGTTTTCTATTTTAGGACTGTTAGATATGCAGAATTTGTTTCCTGATTGTTTTTGGTTTGATATAATTTTGGCTAGACATGGGTGACGAAGTTAAGGCTGTGATTCCTGAGTCGCTCTTGAAGAAGCAGAAGAGGAATGAAGAATGGGAGCTTGCCAAAAAGCAGGAGATTGAAGTTTTAAAGAAGAAGAAAGTCCAGAGCCGCAAGTTGATTTACGCTAGGGCTAAGCAATATGCAAAAGAGTACGAGTCTCAGGTAAATGTGCTGTTCTGTTTGGATTATATAAATTTGTTTTTATCAAATCCTAAAAGTGTCTTAGTTGTATTATGTGGTCTGTAACTCTTAGGAAAAAGAGTTGATTAAATTGAAGCGGGAGGCAAAGTTGAAAGGAGGATTCTATGTCGATCCAGAAGCTAAGCTTTTGTTTATCGTTCGAATCCGTGGGTATGTGTTTATTGAGACATTTTTTATTGGTTTATGAATATAAATTTTAAATAGTAACATGTTGTGAATGTTTGTTTTCAGTATCAATGCCATGCATCCTAGGACGAGAAAGATCTTGCAGCTCTTGCGATTGAGACAGGTAGCTTACCGTTTCTTTTCCAAAACTAAAAGGAATATGGGTTATGAGAATCAATTCCCCACTTTTCCCCGTGTGTATGCTCCTTTGAGGGGTGAGATGTGTGTTAAGATATCTGGTTGACATAACCTTGCACTTTTAATATCTTAATGTCGGTATTCATGTGCTCTTGTTTGAGATATTTTGTCTAAAATTCAATGATAGTGTGTTGTTTGTACAAGTTGAAGTTGTTGAAACTTTGGGCAATTTGTCATTTTGATAGCGTAACTCAAAATTGAAAGTTAATGTGGTAGATGTTTAGTTATCGTGCACTTACTGTCAAACTTGCGCGTTATGGTATGGTGCTGCATTTTCATGGTAACTCTGGGTCTTTCTTTCTAACATTGTGGGCAAATGGTGGTTGTGAATGTATTGGGAACTATTTAATACTTTTCTAATAAATAATTAAAATTTGAATCTAAATTGCTGTGTTTGCTCTTAATGAATGCAGATTTTCAATGGTGTTTTTCTTAAAGTGAACAAGGCAACAATGAACATGCTTCACCTGGTTGAACCTTATGTGACTTATGGGTATCTTTTACTTTCCTGCTTCCATGCTTTCCCTTTTAATAGTTTTATATATTTGGAATGTCTTAGTTTTCAGTAATGTATGTTTCTAGATACCCTAATCTCAAGAGTGTGAAGGAATTGATTTACAAAAGAGGTTATGGGAAGTTGAACAAGCAGAGAGTTGCTTTGACTGACAATGCAATCGTTGAGCAGGTCTGCATATTTTGCATTTACAGAGTTTCATGTTGTTGCTGAACATTTACTAAGCTCACTTGTTTTCTGTACTGGTCTCAGGCTCTGGGCAAGTTTGGCATCATCTGTGTGGAAGATCTCATCCATGAGATCATGACTGTGGGGCCTCATTTTAAGGAGGCCAACAACTTTCTCTGGCCCTTTAAGCTCAAGGCACCATTGGGTGGTCTGAAGAAGAAGAGAAACCACTACGTTGAAGGAGGAGATGCTGGCAACCGTGAGAATTACATCAATGAGCTAATTAGGAGAATGAATTAAGCCTGTTTTTATCTGTGAAGTTAGTGGTTGATATCTTTTTGGTTCATTTGGAAGGGTCCTTATCTTAGTTTCTTTTGGAAGTTAGAAACAGTTTGTGTTAAAAGCATGAATATTTGCATTTTGTTAATTGTTACCATTATTCTCCTTTGTGACTGAGCTTTCTCAAAGTTTTGTGCCTTAAGAAATTTTATTGCTAATACTTCACATGATTATTTATTATATAGTTTTTATAAACAGCTAGTTGAAGCATATGGTTTGCTAATTGAAGCAAAACAGTTATTTTTCAATAATGTGCAAATATGATGTGGAAATACCTTGCAGTCTTCGTTGCTCTGTTGTACAACTGTTTTTCTTGCTCCGATATAGGCAAAATATTTTGCCTGCAATCAAGTTTTCTGTGTTCTGTAGCCTTTTTAAATGCTTAAATTGTTTGCAGATTCAGCCCCTTGTACTTTAATCTATCCTAAAACCGGGCATTGAAGTTGAAAGATTTGTGTTTTTGTCCGTGATTTAATGATTTTTTGGTGATGAAGAAATAAGCTGATTAAGGGAGGCTTGAAACTAATTAAGGTGTCAACTCTCTATTTCCCAGGTTTTAACTTTTCTTCATTTATGTTACTACTCAAATTACTGGGGGATTGAGGTGCCAGACTATTTGAAGTACTTGTAAATTTTAAGCAGTTTACTTGGGACAAATCTTTGGTTTTGAATTCAGAACTTTAATTTAATTAATTTATTTAATCATTTTAAAAAATAAATAATCAGTAAGTTTTGGAATTTAAATCTTGATATTTGCAATCTTTTTCTTTAATTTTTCAGCTCAATCCTTTCCTTTATTTCCTGATTATAATCTCTTCTGTTAAAAAAAAAAAAATCTATGGATCCAAGTCCAATCATTCCCTGTATAAACCTTGAAGTTAGATATTTTTAGGTGGCAATATTCGGTAGTATAAGATAGATTAATTAGAAGATTTAATTAGATCAGGTTAGTTGATAAACCTTGCATGAAACCTTTGACAAGCAAAACAATTTACAAATATTTTTGTCGACATATGCACATACGCCTATACATTACATGTATCAATGCTCAAAGATTCAGCCACCCCTCGTAGTCATGGAAAAACGAGTGGCAATTGTTGGAGCAGGAGTAAGCGGCCTTCTTGCCTATAAGTACGTTCTGCGGAAGGGTTTCGAACCAATCGTGTTCGAAGCCGATGAAAGAATTGGAGGAGTTTGGGTCATACCATGGAATCAACAAAGCTCCAAAATACCAAACAAGACTACCAGTTTTCTGATTTCCCATGGCCTTCGTCGGTGAAACAATTGTATCCTAGTCATATTAAGGTGCTGCAGTATCTTGAATCTTACGCTCGCCATTTTGGAATCTATCCTTGCATAAAGTTCAGTTCCAACGTCACCAGTGTAGACCAAGTTGGAGGGTCTCATGAAGAGATTGAATCATGGCATCTCTGGGGTGGAAAAGGAATGCCCTTAAGCTCCAAAGGGAAATGGCACATTACAGTGAAGGTACTTTGGTGACCTTGTTTTCGCCCTTGGTAAAACTTGTATGACATTGCTTGAACTTTGAATTTGGGTTCAGAGTTTTGGACAATTTAATTATCTCTAATAACCAATCTATGCATTTTCCAGAGATGGGGCATCTCGAAAGTTGTTGAGTGCTATCTTAGATGGAAATTCCCGTTGAAGAAGTACGAAATGATACCAAAACACAGCTTTCACCAGGATGTGTCTGCATGTCGAATAGCATTGTTGCCTGAAAATTTCTACAGCAAAATGGAAGAAGGAAGCATTATTATAAAGAATTCGCCAAGCTTCAGCTTCTGCCGAGAAGGTTTAATCATTGATGGAGAAACCAAGCCCCTGAAAACAGCTATAGTTATCTATGCTACTGGAGTCAAGGGTGATGAAAAACTGAAAAACATTTTCGCTTCTCCAATCTTCCAACAATACATAATGGGGTCTTCAACTTCCATTCTTACTCTCTACAGGTGATTCCTTTAATCAGCTTAATTTCATTTTATGCTTCCAAGATCTTCAATATGCTGCGTATTTTTTGCTTGACATCCAGTTCTTGACTAATGCAGACAAGTGATTCACCCTCGAATTCCACAATTGGCTGTAATTGGATATACAGAGAGTGTATCCAATCTGTCAGATTCTGAAATCAGGTGTCAATGGCTAGCACATTTCCTCGACGGAAACATAGAATTGCCGAGCATAAAAGAGATGGAAAAAGAGGTGAAAACGTGGGAAAAGTACGTAAACCGAATTTCTGGCAAGCATTTCAGGAGATCTTGTATTGGTGAGGTTCACGTAAACGACCAATTATGCAAAGACATGGGACGTAATCAAGGCTAGAAGAAAGGAGGGAGTATTGGTAGAGTTAGATGAAGAGCATGGAAAACCAGACATGCCATTGAAGAAGGCGACATTTGCCAAATTCTAGTAGAGGCCTGCCTGCCTAATTCATTGTTTATGGTGCAATTTCTATGGAAATGAAGAGCTGGTTTGGATTAGGGAAAAGGGAAGGAAAATAAATAAATTTACTAAAAGATCTTCCAAGATACTTGAACCAAAAAATAAAATTCAATGAAAATTTTAAACCAAACATTCATCAGACTTGAACCAAACAATAAAAAGAAATTCCTGTATATATATTTGTAACTGAAATTATTGCATATCATAAAATCAATAGTGAAGTTAATAATTTGAGCAAATGGTAAACTGGTCTAGAATTATACTTATAAATTAATACGAGATTTACTCTTTAATGTGCAATAATTTATAAGTAAGATTCATTGATGATATGCAATCTTTTATTAAAATTTTATTTTTATTCATGATTTTTAAAAGGTGAATTTAGTGTCTACAATAATAATATTTGATTTTCATTCAAGATCCTTTAAAAGTTTTCACTATTCATCCAGAATTTTTAAATAGTTTTCACTATAAATTCATGACCTTTAAAATGACATATATAATTTTAATATTTTTTTCAAAATTTATTTTTTATTACATATACTCTTTACATAACATATTTTTTGGAATAAAAAACTTATTTTTATGTGAAAAAAATAAAGAGATTTGGAGAAAAAATAAAAAAAAATGGATAAACAGTGGATTTTTAGAAAGTTGTGAATGATAAATGAAATTTTTAAAAGTTGTAAACAAAAATCATGAATGAGAATGAAATATTAACAAAATTTACATATATTGCATGTAATTTTTATGTAACTTTTAATTTGCAAGATGCTTAACCGCCAATTCAGTGGCATCACTTACTTGGTTGAAATTTAAAAACTCTTTAGATTATGCATATCATTTTAGAAAAAAAATTTAAATTTGACCCCATTGGCTTAGAAATATTGGGGTCAATATGTAATATTAAAAACATTATCATTAAAAGTTGCAAGGGTCATTATAGAAATTTCAAAATTTAAGAGAACTTTCACAATTTTAATAGTAAGTGGTAACCCAATCTGCCTTGATAGCTTTCTACGTTAGGATCAATTTTTTATTTTTTAAATTGAGTTTTGAGTCAAATAATAAAAAAAAATTGAGATCATTTTTAAACAAATTCGATCAACTTGATATATATCTTATTTTTTAATTAATTAATTATTTTATATTTAAAAATAATATTTTATTAATTTTAGATAAGATCAAATGAAGTATAATTTATAAATATCAAATCAGATTTGAGTATTAAAAAATTAAAAAAAATCATTGAATTATAAAATTGAATTGGATTCGATGAAAGTAAAAATTTATCGTGATTTGATTTGTTGTCACTCTTATATGAGACCCATCACATATTCTAATATTTAAAATAAGTATGTATTTTATTTATAATTTTTTTATTATGATATTATAATTAATCAATTATAATAAAAAATTATGTAAAAATTTATTACTTAAAAATATAAATTCTATATAATATTTATTTATAATTAATTAAATATATTGTAAGTAATTTACCACCTTAAAGTAAAGAGGTTTTGTTAGTGTTTTCTGTCAAATCAAAACAAAAAAAAAAAACTCTTGTACTTTCGCATCAATTTAAAATAAAATAAAATTAAAAATTTTGGCATTTTTTATGTCATTGTCTTGTTAAGAAAGCTAAAACATATTAACAGAAACCATGGAATAGAAAAAGAAAGCAAAGGAAAGAAAACACAAAATAAGGACATTTTTAATTATTTATCTATCCATCTATCAATTTTTTTAATCTTTTGATGTATATTTGTTGACATTGAGTTTATGGAGGTAGCAGCAAGTTCTTAGATAAATTGAACTTTAATTCCACGTGTTGCTATGAGATTTATTCAATAACATTCAATAAATTTTTTTAATATAAAAAAGTTACAATTTAAAAATAAGAAAGTTGATTTTAAATACGTAAATTTAAATTTAAATTTATTTAATTTCATCACTTAAAAATATCTATATGAACTATTTGAGTTTTCTTTCACAACAATAATGTGTAATAATTTAATGTGAAGTGTGAACCATTTAAAAAAATAAAATTTATGCTTAACTTATGTTCTTTGACTCTAAAAAACAAATCAAATATTCATATAGCTTATGTACTATTTGATTTATATCATCCTGGTTTTTAAAAAATAAAAATTTGTTATTAATTATTTGAACTTAAACTTTGTCGAGTACTTTGGTATTGAGACTATTATTGCATTAGTTAAGGTGTCGATATGATACAATATTTAATAAAATCATGACATGTATAAAAAAAATTTAATTAGTATCACATTATCAATTATCACTTAGTATTAAAAGAAAATTCAAAAAAAATTAAAAAACAAAAAATCTAAAAAAATTCAAAACAATTTATGAAAATTAGATAATAATGAAAATCCAAAAATTAAAAACAAATCCTAAAAATTTTCAAAAATCTTAAAAATTAAAAATAAATTCTCAAAAAATAAAAAAAAATCTTATTTTTTTAAAAGCAAAAATTGATAAAAATCTAAAAAAAATTTTAAAAATCCAAAAATTAGAAAAAATATAAAATATAAAAATATTGAAAAAAAAGTAAAATCTAAAAAATTGCAAAAGGTCAACCTTTACCTTTCATTTTTATATTAATTTTTTCAAAATTTTTTATATTATATTATTTTATTGTATTTTCTTTTAATTTTTAAAATTTTTTTCTTTTTTTAATTTTAAATTTTGCAGATTTTATTTGAATTTTACGGGCATATTTTTAAGTTTCATATTTTTTGAATTTTTAGTATTTTTTAATTGTTCATATATTTAATTTCTTAACTTTTTAGATTTTTTTTGCATTTTTAAAGTTTTTTAATTTTTATAAAAAATTAAAAAAATTTTGTAATTTTTTAGAACTTTTAAAAGATTTTTAATTTTTGGGTATTATTTTTAAAATTTTTAGATTTTTTAAAAAGTTTTACTTTTTATTTCTCATAATTTTTTCTTTATTTTTATAATTTTCAATTTCACATTTTTTCAATTTATTTTTATTTTTTCAAAATTTCAAAATTAAAATTTTTTTTATAATTTTTCTTTTTTTTTTTGAAATTTTTAGGATTTTTTTTAATTTTTCAGTTTTTTTTTTACTTTTTTAATTTGTCATAAATTTTCTTATTTTTTGAATTTTTAGATTTTTCTTGAAAGTTTTTTATTTTTTTCAATTTTTTTGAATCTTTAATGTTGATGTGGCAGTGAATGACATGGCTATGATTGGACATTTTTTACATGTGTTATAATTTTATTAGATGGTCATATTAGGTTAGTAATTTTATTAATGGTATTAGTTCAAAATACCAAAATATATGATGAAATGAAAGTTTAAGTATTTTCTAATCTCACATTTTTATATTTAACCTAAAAAACACTTATGTTCTTTTATCACAAATAAGTATTTTCTAAGCTCACATTTTTTACCTTTTCCCCATTTTTTTTAGGTTAAATACATATGTAATTTATGTATTATATGTTTTTTGTCAGTTTGACACCTGAAAATAAAAATTAACAATTAAATACTTAAATGTACATTTTATCAATTACTTTGGTCTTTTGGACAACATCATTAGTTATATAATTGACATGGTCAAAATATCTAATAAACTTGTGATACATGGCAAAAGTATCTAGCTATTGCCACATTATCTATTTTTCACGTTTGCATAAATAATAAAAATTAAAAAATCATAAAAATGAAATATATTTTTATTCAAAATTAAAAATATTCAAAAAAAAAAGAAAGTGAAGAGAAAGAATCGTGGAGAGAAAAATGGTGAGCGAAGGAAACGAAGTGAGGGAAAAGGGAGAGAAAAGGAAAAGATGGGGTAAATCAATGTTAGAAACTAATTGTATAGGGTGGACCGGTTCGATCTATTCCAGATTGGATAGATCGACATTGGTCTGCATTAGACTAAACAGATTAACCTCAACCCGCCTTGGATTAACCAGTTTTAGATGGTTTACCCCTTCCTCTCATTTTCCTTAGTTCTCTTTCTTTTTCCTCGATTCTTTCTTTTTTTTTTGTTTTTTGATTTTTTTTAATTTTGACTTTAAGAAAAATATTTTTTATTTTTTTAAAAAATTTTAGATTTAAAATTTTTAGCCCTTTTTTATTGGATAAATTACATAAAACCACTTTGTGGTTTAAGGTAGATTTAAAATTATCTCTGAGATTTAAAATATGATACTTAACTACTTTATAATTTGTTTTATTATTTTTTTACACAAAATCATGACTTTTTTTGTTATTTTCAAATATTTTCAGTTTCTAGGTTTTTTCCTATATTTAACAATAGAAAGTGGAATAAACAAAAATAAAAAACAATTAAAAGCAAGAAATTGCAAAAATATTTCTCTGTCAGCAAAGATTTTTAGGGTTTTATAATTGGTTTTATAGTTTCATTTTAGGTTTAGTTTAAGAGGCAATCCATCAACAAATTTAAAGGAGAGCAATTTGGGCATAAGAAATAACCTAAAAGATTGAGGTACCACAGCAATAGCTTAAGCATAAAAAGAAGAAGAAAAAATCAAGCACTAACAAGAATCAACAAACATTTAAGTAGAGTCGGTACCACAGCTCATAACGTCATCAATCAAATAAAAAGCTGGAGTTAGAAAGCACACAAATAGCTTAATTCTCAAAATCAAGCAACCAACAGAAAAGTAAATAATTTTTTGCAAATAAAAACAATACACAAATAAATTTGTACATCTAAACCTAAATCCTGCATACAACTAAGAAACTTATACATAATACCTAATAAATCCAAACTCGAAAATTGAATCCATAAATAGCTTAATTCTCATAATCAAAATAGCTAACAAAGAAATTAAATAATTTTTAATAATTCAAAGTAATACACAAACAATTTAGTACACTCAAACCAAAATCTTGCACACAACCAAAAAATCCATACACAATACCCAGTAAATCCAAACTTAAAAATTGAACCCAAGCTCGAATTAACAAAAAATCAATAAGTAAAAATTTAGCAAACCCATAATTGAAACATTCAATTATATCAATACACATAAATAAAAAAAGTGCTTTTTGAATTTTTCAGACAAAGAAAAAAGTGAATTATTAGAGAAAAAATAAAAGATAAAAAATAAAAAATAATGAAATTGTCATAATTTTGAGAAAAAAAATTAAAATAAATCATAAGATAATTAAATGTCATAATTTAAATCTCATAAGTCACTTTAAATTTGCTCCAAACTATAAGATGGTTTTATGTAATTTATTTTTTATTTTTATTTTAAATTTTTTGAAAATTTAAAAATTTTTACCTTTTTAAAAATTTTTAATAAAAGATGTTTGATATGATGGCAATAATATGAGATGTGATTTTATTAGGTGTACATAACACGTTAACATAATAATTAACTTATTAAGTTAAAATACCAAAATACTGGATGGAATGAAAATTAGAATACCTAATATGAGCTTTAATTCTACTACAAGTGCTAAATGCGTCTTTAACCCTTTTCTTTTTCCACTGTTTTAACACAATCCAAGAAGAAGCCACTATTGCCAGCCCTGAGTTAAAGCTTTTGCTAGAGTTGTAGAGCGAGATCTATGAATTCACAGAAATGGTGGGCCCTCCAAAGAAACACTTCGTCCTTTTCATCCTCCTCCTCTCCCTCTGCATCCTCCTCCTCCTCCTTTACTCCCCCCACCCAAATCCCATCTCTACCCAAACCTTTCCTCTAAATCCCCATTCTATCCGCACCACCACCACCCCAACCTTTTCTCTCACTATCAAAGTCCTCACTTTTAACCGCCTCAACTCCCTAACCCGCTGCCTCACCTCCCTTTCCAACGCCTACTACCTTCCACACCACCCTGTCCACCTCCACATCTTCATCGACCATTTTCCAAACCAATCCCAATCCGACATCGACCTCAAACTTCAGGACTCGTTTGGAATTCTGCACTTTGTTGATGGGTTTGAGTGGAAATGGGGTCAAAAGATCGTTCATTACAGAACCACCAATGTGGGTCTCCAAGGCCAATGGTTAGAAGTCTGGTGGCCCACTTCTGATGATGAGTTTGCCTTCGTTGTTGAAGATGATTTGGAGCTTTCACCATTATTTTTTAAGTATTTGAGAGCTTTGATCTTGAATTATTACTACAATGCTTCCAATTTCAGTCCTTTTGTTTATGGGGCTTCCCTTCAGCGCCCAAGGTTTGTTCCAGGTACCATTTTTTCTGGGTTTTCTTTGTTTTTTGTATACTTTTTGGGAATGATTGTTATTTTGCAAAAAAGGGGGTTGATGGAATTTGTTTGAATTACATGAATTAATGTAACGATGATTGGATTTATGTGAATTGAAAAAGAAAAAAAATGGGCTTCCCAGTTTAAGATTTGTCACAAGTGTGGCTTCAATAAAGTAATTGTTCATTTGAAGTTTGGACTTTGGTTATAAATAGCAAACAATATTTTTTAAAAGAATTTTAAAATCTAAAAATATAATCCTCTTAGGTAACAAAATAGCTATCTTGTTTTTATATTGACTGATTATACTATAAATTGATATTACATTTAGTCATTTGTTCAATTTCAGAACGTTATGTTTTTGCTTTATAATTTCTTTCTTAACAAGCAAAAAGCAAATAGTGAAAACAAGTAAGAAAAGTAATAACCTAACAGAGAAGATTGTAACTTGGAAATCACTAGAGAAATTAGTCCATTGCTTGTAAAGCGCATTTGAATCCCATGTTTGTCCGTATTTTCACAATTGACTGTGTAGCTATCCTGTGATTTAATAAGATAATATTGTTTTTGAAAACCACGTTATTTTCAAATCAAGTCATACCTCATTCATGCCTCCAAAATTCCTTTTCAATCATAGGTTATGGTAAGAGTTTGATCAGGCAGAACCATTCAGCTAGCTAATTGCAGGGTGTATTAGTAACATTTCCTTCTGTGGTGCTTTACATACATATTTTATTAATTTTTTCCCGTTTGGTTGGCGGCTGAGTTCCACACTATTGAAGATCTCTGTAATAATAGAACCTGTCTTCTGCATTTTTGTTGCCTGGTTGATGGGTTTTGGCTGCTTCATTTGTAAGTTGTAACTGTGGTGTGCTTGTGTAATTCTTTCTGATGCAAATTGTGTAATGCATGTCTTTGCTTATCATTTTGTTACCATCCATGCTAGATTATTGATCCAACAACCATTAATACATGATCTTAATTCTTTTTTTGGAGAATTCTCAAAATTCCTTCATTTATTTGCTTGCTAACTCCAGGTAAACATGGAAACAAGTTGCTACTAGATAGCACCTCAGGACTTTTCTTGTACCAACTGGTTGGCACCTGGGGCCAGCTTCTCTTCCCAAAGCCTTGGAAAGAGTTCAGGTTGTGGTATGATGATCACAAGGCGAAAGACTTTAAGCCATTTCTTGATGGGATGGTAATTTATGTTGGTTTAGCTCTTTCCTTTATTTTTCCTTGTTCATTTATTTGGTGTTTATTTTCAATCTAATAAAATCTACAAGCTATACGCAGGTTACCACGGGATGGTACAAAAAGATGGGAGAAAGAATATGGACTCCTTGGTTCATTAAATTTATTCATTCTCATGGCTATTTTAATATTTACACAAAATTTCTGGATGAGAAATCACTTAGTGTCTCCCACAGGGACGTTGGCGTTAACTATGGAAAAACAGCAGGGCCAGACTCTCAACTATTGGATGTAAATTCTCTTTATTCCAATTTTCTGGAAATGAAATCTTTGAGTAGTATGAAGTGGTATGATTTCTGTTTCAGGGAAGTAGTTCCTGGAAGAGTTGTAAGGAACTTGAATGATCTTGGGTCTATTCTTCCCTCTGTGCAGACAAAGGGAACTGTCTTGCTTGTTAGCCTATTTGGGGTATCAGAGGCAGTCACTAGAAACCTTCTTTGCCACTTTGAGAGGCTAAATCTTTGGAATTACATTTTAATTGGTTCTGGTACTGGCTTTCTGTTTGATCTTGCTCGAAGGGGACACCCTGTAATTGATGCAGACCGATTTCTCAGCAATATCAGATTGTATAAATCAGTGGGAATGGAAGAGAAGAATGCTAGGTTTATGAAGGATATTCTGCTGAAGGCTTTTCTTGTCAAAAAAAGTTTAGAATTCAGTTATAATACTTGGGTACTGGATGGAAACATTGTTCTTGTTAACAATGACCTGTTTCTTGAGTCTATTGATTCCATAGACAACTTCTATGCAGGGGAGAGCATGGACCTATTCTTTGTCAAGAACTCACCTTCTGCCCTCAAAATTTGGGCTGATGGTTTTCTGTATGATGTTGCAGCTATGGTGGATAAACTTTCACTACCTAGAGAGAGCAGAAATTTTGTATCTGTAATGGCAAAGCTATTGGAACAGAAGGGAGTTAGAGTTAAGCGTCTGGATGAGAGAAGCTTTGGCATGAAAATTGGTAACCAAAATCTCAATCAAAACTTGGAGACCAATAAAAAGGTGGTTTATTGGTCCAGAGAGTTAGACATGGATTCCATTCAGAAGCGGCTTCAAGAATTTAGTCTATGGGTCATAGATAACGATTCTTCCTGCGCAGCTGTAGTTTGTCACCAGTCATAGCAGTCACAGAAATGTTCAAACTTCCATCTGATTCTTAATTCATTATGCTTAGCACGGGACTCGTATTGAAGGTCAAGGTAAGGTATAAGCCATGAAAGTGTGTGAGGCAGTAGCATTTAGAAACAGAAGAATTTTGTGTATCATCTTTTTAATGCTGAGATGCACATTGGCAATCTCGGTAGTCCAAGTATGGCAGCACATTTGACTACTTTTGATGTATAAGCTAGGAATGATAATGCTAAAAGAGTTCTTAGAGAATTTTTGGAGATTATCTCTTGGCTGAAGGAGGTGGCATATCTGGTCGGAAGCAATGATGGTTTAGTGAGATTTGAACATGTTAAGGAACATAGAAATCTCACTGGATGCATATCGAAACCGAGCAAGCTGAGTTTGAGGAGGCCAAGGCTTTCGAATTTTGTTGGAATTGTGAGTTTCCCGGAAATCTTTTTGAGGCAATTTCGGTAGCAGTAATGCTAAATCAAGATAGACATTCTTAACACTATGTAATGTTGTTTCTTGTTTTATTTCTTAATGGAAGTTAAAACATAATTACAGCTTTTGATGTATTTGTTGTTGTTTCACAGTAGTTGGAACTTGAGACTGTAACTTGAAGGTCTAGAGTTGGAATTCTGAGATCAGTGGGGTGAGATTTATGGGATTAAAGGAGATTATCTTTCATTATATAGTTCAAAATCGTATGTACCAAAAGTACACTTATTGAGCATGAACTGTATGTAATTACGCACCCTGGGAAGAGGGATGCCAAAGTGCAGTCAGTATAAAATGGTTAAGACTGGCGTTCAGGCAAAAATTTTATCTGCTTTTCACTACGAGGATGGCCGGCCTGGAGTAAACTCCAACAAGATCCTCTAATGATTTAGTAGGTATAAAAATATGTAGAGAATGGATAGCAAGAGATTGATAATATGAAAATAATTTTGATGACGTAAAATATGACATAATAATGTGAAATAAATTTATTAATTTAAAATATAATATGATAAGATAATATAAATATGGTATAAAAAATAAATATGAGAGTGACACAATATAAAATCTTAATAACAATTAAATATAAATTTAATAAAATAAAAAATATAATTTATATTTTCGTATTGATAAAAATTATGATAAATAATTTTTATATAAAATATGATATAAATATATATTTTAATATTTTATATGATATAAATATATAAATTATTATGTATCGATGAAAAGATACCACTTTCATAAAAAGTCCTACATTTTCCTCTTCAAAGCTGCAAAGAATAAAATATTGATTGTTAAAGAAATTGGAAGTCGATAAAACCAAATATACTACCTTGGTATACTTCAATATTTCCACCGTCTGTCAGACAGGAGCTCCTGCCGCATCAAATAATGCCAATCAGTATCATACTTTTTCTGAGGGAGGGTGATCGCCTTAATTTTTATCCTTAAATGCTATATTTTTTTATTAAGTGATACTCGGATCTAATAAATTTATTAAAAACTATTTTTTTACATTCCTTTAATAACAAAGAAAAGAACATATTTTTTTATCATTTAAATCAACCGTTTATTGGCATTAATACTATATTTTAATTATAAGTATATGATATTAAAAATGTAAAAGTTTGATTTAATTCATGAATTGCTTGAATCGAATGCTAAAACACTTAAATTTGACTTTATATCTTATAATTAATCTGAGTTAAACAATAAAAATACTTAAAGATTTGAAAGCATAATAGCAGCTTCAATTTTTATCATCCATTCACATAGAAAGTTTAAACTTATTTAGATTACTAAGCTTATTTAATTTTTGAAATTTTTTGATAAAATTAAATCTGATGATAGATAGATTATTCAATTCTTTAAATCAAAATAAAAAATATCATATTTAATAATTTAAAATAAATAACTGTAAGTAATATATTCAAAATGATCTTAATAAATAATTAATTGTAAGATTTAAATTCAAAATTTTTTCATCGAACAAAATGAATATAACCATTGAACCAATCTACTTAATTTTTGAATTAAATAAAGGATATAATCTCAAAAATTTCAAAGTTTAATAAGTCCTTGAGTTTTGGACCTGCTGGCTTCCGGTCGACAAGAAAACCTAAAAGCAATCCAAATCCGGTCGGCCCAATACCAACCCAATCCAAAAGCCGACAAACTCTCGATTTTTTTATGGGTAAAATTTAATATTTTTATTGATAATTTGAAAATAAAAAGTAAACAAAAACCCAAATCACATCAATGATGTGTACACGCTTGGATTTGACCAACCTTCCATCCGATATTCCTACAAATACGGCTAAGCCGATTAGTTGGAAAAAAACAATCAATTTGAAAGTGAAAGAAACAGAAATGAAATGATAATGTGTGCTTTTTTTTTAATAAATTAGAAATAATAATGTGAGGAGTAAATAACAACATTACCAATACAAGAATAAAATTTTTAAAATTAATTATTTAAAAAAAATTAAATCAACATATGTCAACTTTTTAAATTTGTATGTAAAATTAAAAAAATTACATGGATTTGTTGAATAATATTTTTATAAATAATACAAAATTTAAAAGTTAAATTTTATCAAAGATTCATTTATATTAATATAAATAAATTATATTAATATACATTTTATATTTTCTTATCATTAAATCAAAATTAAATTATAATTAATTTAAATCAAAATAATGTAATCAATCTGAACTCATTTTTTACTATTTCATCTCATTTCAATCAATACTTTTTCAAATTCTTTTACATTTTTAAATATTTTTGGTTGTACGGAATGTAAAACAAACATTTTTGGTCAGGAGTTTTAGGACAGAAACAGTGAATGAATTTGCGAAAAAATTTTAAATAAAGTTTTTAAGTATAATTTGTAAAATATTTTATTAAAAATAATAAAATTAAAAATAAAATTAATTGACTGAAAGAGTTTTTTACATAAATCGAGTGTACGAAAATTGACAAAATTAAAAAAAAATTTATATATAATTTTAGGTAGATACTTTTAGTAAAAATATATAAAAAATTTTTATTATTGAATAAATATTGATTAAATATGAATTATAAATAATAATTTTAAAATTTTTTATATATTATTAATTTTTACATCAAATTCTATCAATTTATCTATTTAAAATTTTTATTAAATTATTTTAATAAAAAAATTTCTAAATTTCATCTAAAAAAAATTCATGTAAAATTTATCATGAATCTACTATCTATTTAACTCCAGAAATGCATTTCGTTACTTTGGTTCCCACGCTGCCATTAAACATTTAATTACGCATCCTCAACACTTCCACCGACCAAATCTCCATTTTTTTTTAAATTTTTTCTCTTATAAAATTGTTTATTTTTAAGAAAAGCCACTGCCATGTATATGGTACGTATGGTGAGGGACATTTGCATAATAATCAATGGGTCCACAGTGAGAGGAGTTTTGAATTTGAAGCATAAGCATCCAATTGATTTGTCTTTCCACAGTCCATACCCACTAACATATAGCAACAGCAAAAGTAAATTGAAAGGAGAAATTTTATATAATAGTATAGTGAATTGGATCAGTCCAATGCCTATGTTTCACTCTTTCAATTTTTATGTTTATTTTGTTAGATAATTTAACAATATTGTTTACTTTTGACCGGTTGATTTAATCACGAATGATTTTTAAATAAAATATTTAATATAATATATGATTTTTAAAAATTTAAATAAATTTATTAATTAATGTAATAATTAAAAAATTAATTATTCATTTTATGTTATTATTTGAAATTAATTACATTAAAATAAATATTATATTATTTAATAAATTATAATTTATAAATTATATTAAAAATTTTAATTTATACCTCATAGTAAATATTTTATTATTATTCAAAATTATTTGTAACATTAATCTAAAATAAAAAAATTAATCAAAAGTAAAAAGTGTAAAACTGAAGTAAATAGACATCGGATGCTGTCTAATTCCTCACCGTTTTCTTTAACGAAGACAATGACTACGAATTGATAATAAAATTTAAAAAGCAAAAAAAAAAAAAAAAAAAAATCCGACGGGGACTCCTCTTCTTATTTCTTTCCATCGCCTTTTCAAAAAGCAGAGCAACCAACCAACAACCCAAAAAGAAAAGAGAAAAAACACTTCACTGCATATTCTCTTTTCTCTCTTGATTTTTTTTTCCTCGTTAATTATTTTTATATTAATTTCTCGAGAGAATCCAAAAACTTTTCTTACATTTCATCCTACCTGATCCAGCAACCTAGTAACGCTTTTTAATTTTCCTTTTTCCTTTTATTTTTATATTTTTCATGATCTGTAAGTTCCAATTCTCCTTTTTTCCCTTCTATTATTTTCCCTTTGTTTTCTTGAATTAGGGTTTGAGAAAACCAAGTATTATCTTTTTTTTTTTTTGGGTTCTTTGTTTCCTTTTCCCTTGGCTTTGCACGTGTTTAATTTGGTGTTTTATCTTGGCTAGAGTTTAGAGAATTTTCTGATTTACAATTTTTTTATCTATATTTTGTTTTCTTATTGTGGTTACATTTGGCATAATTGAAATATGATTTTATTTATTTCTGCTTAGTTACCACACTTCAAATTATCTGATTCATTGTTTTTTGGTTAGATGCTTGACAACTAATTAGATAATTAATTTTCTTAATTGGAGTAATTTATGTTGGTTAATGCTGATCCACATTTTGCTTTAAGCTGTTAATAAGTTTTTTTTTTCTTTAAATAATGTTTTATCCGTTCTTAATTCTTTTATAGTAATTTAAATCTTCTGTTTCGGAATCCAAAAATTAACACTTTTTTGGGTGATCTAACAGAGGGTAGTTTCGGAACAATGACGAGGGTAAATCGGAATTTTGGTGATACTATACAAAAGGAAGCAATTCCAGCTGTATCAGCTGATGTGATATTTGCTTCGAGTCGTTTTCCCAATTATAAAATTGGGGCAAATAATCAGATTCTGTATCCCAAAGAAGATCCTAAAGTTTTGTCCATGAAAGAGGTTGTTGCTCGTGAGACCTCGTTGTTATTGGAGCAGCAGAATCGCCTCTCTGTTCGTGACCTTGCTAGTAAATTCGAGAAGGGGTTAGCTGCTGCTGCTAAGTTGTCTGAAGAGGTCTAATTACTTCGAAATTCATTTATTTATGCATTGCAGTTTTTTTCAGATAGATTGCTAAAGACATTTGTTTAAATTGCCTAACATTAGATTGACTTGTTTTAGCCTTATGAAGAATCCAAGGAATTGAAGATAGGTTGTTGGAAACTACTTATAAATATGTTGGTTCCTGTTTTAATCTAATAATAACAGGTTACTCAGTTTTGCTAGTGAGTGGCATTAAGATTAGTCGAATAGTAAATTTTGTTTTATGGGTTGTTATCATTTTGTTATGCATCTTGGATTATCTCTGGATTGAAGAAATAGGTTAGGCCACTGAGTAGTCTGTTCATGCAAGTGATTCTTCTATCATTTTTTGTTGTTCCTATTCGCTGTTGAGAAGCATTGGGACTATTATTAATTTCTAACCAATATGGATTATGATGTGAACAAATTATAAGCTAGTTACTTATTGGATTCAGGCTCGACTCAGAGAGGCAGCTTCACTGGAGAAACATGTCCTTTTGAAGAAGCTTAGAGATGCCCTGGAATCTTTAAAAGGACGTGTGGCTGGGAGAAACAAGGATGATGTGGAGGAGGCGATTGCAATGGTTAGTGTTCTACACTTCGCTTCTATCATTGAATTTATTACCTGTAAGGCTATAAGAGTGATACGGCAGACCTATTTATCTTTGAAAGTTAAATGCTAGTATAGAAAATGCAAAATTAAGTTTTACTTTAATAAAACTACACTATTAGTTTGGGTGCATAGAGAAATAATGTTCATGGTGAACGATGAGGAGAAAAAAAATATGCGTAACATTAAGGGTATGATTGCTGATTTGTCGCTTCAGTTCGCCTTTTTAGTTTCAAGGATGTTATTATCATTTGTATCAACATTGTTCCGTTCTATAATTATTGGTAAAGCATGAGGACAGGAGTTTAATTCACCCTTGACTATGATATGCTGTATCCATCATTGCTTGCTCCTAGTAAAGAAGGATTTGGTTTTAGAAATAGCATGGCAAGTGTATGGTGATCTTCTGCTTTCTGTAATAATGTTGTAAGTCTTATTGTTATCATTTATTGTATGGTTAGATATGAAGCGAACTTCTTTTCTGGGAGAAAACTGTTCGTATTGTTTGAATAGATCAGCTTTGAGAATGCATGTCTTTCCCCAACCTTTTGGGTGGAAAAATGGATAAAGATAAAAAAACAAAAGGAAAAAAAATCTTTCGATGCTTGAGATTTTCTCTTTTGGTCTCTGGCTATATCTTTTCACCTTTGATGGTTCATCTAAAACTATCTAATTGGATTCTTGGTTAATGCATATTGCTTGCTAACTTTCAAGTGAGGTAATAATGACCTTTGAATTATGGTTGTGTCCCCAGGTGGAAGCCCTGGCAGTTCAACTGACTCAAAGAGAAGGAGAGTTGATTCAAGAGAAGGCAGAAGTAAAGAAACTAGCAAAATTCCTTAAGCAGGTAATATAGCTTATGATAAATGCTGGATGATGCGCATCCCTTTTTTTCTGGATTTCATAATAAGTTTTTTTTAGGGATGTATATTTGTGTCATCAATATATCTAAAAATGCTGAACAAATTAAATGCATTATTTGTTATATATACATGCAGTGCTTCGTAAGTGTGTTTTTGGTTGGAGAGAAACTGTAATTGCTTATATTGGTTTGATAAACGTTTAGAAAATCTAAATGAATTATCATGACTGAGTCTGTGATTTATTAGTCTTTCTCCAGAGCTTTCTGTATTTCATGTTAAAGTACCTCTATAGATAATTTTGGCTGAATAGTGAATACGTATGGCGCCTTTTGATCCCTTATTTAGTGGAAGAATGCCTTTTTCTTTATTGAAGTACTGATTTTTTTTGGCTGGGATGATGTAGGCTAAGTTATGGTTCTCTGAAGTTAACTACTGTATATTTTGGAACTGGATTGTGAGGATATCTTGTTGAAATTTTGAATGAGATAATAGTTTAGGAAATGTTGAACTCGCTATTTCCATTTAAAAAGTATTTTATTATGCTAGAGACTTGTTATTTTAGCTATTGTTTGTGGCACCTGCCTTAACTTTAATCTTTTCTTTCCTCTTAAATTTGTTTATTTGGTTTCGCCTTGTTCTGATTGCTGTCATTGAACGGTTACTGGTACAATGCTGGTAGAAATGCTTAGTTTGTTGCTTTCTGATTATGCTGGCAAGATCTTTTTTCCTTGCCCATTTCTTCTTAATTATTGAGCCTCAGATAGGCAAGTAATCAAAAGACTTGCTTTCTTAATTCTAAAATGTTTCTGCTTCTATATGTAGTGACTCACAATCCCTTGTTATCAATGTTTTCCAGGGAAGGCTTGTGTTTGGTTCTTGTTTCCGGTAACTATTTTTCTATTTAACAGTTTTCAAGAGAATTGTTCTCAGGACACCCCATGTTCTAAAAATAATACTATTTATTTATTTATTTTCTGTTTTCACTTGGTTTCATTTTTGTTTTTCTGGAAATGTGTTTTGAGACCAAAAGACAAAAAAAAACCAACGTGCCTTGACCCTGAACAACCTGTATTTGTTTTAGAAGAGGGCTGCTCTGGTAACGTCTGGGAGTAATCCGACTATGCTGGGCCTGGGTCCATAAGTTATTTACTTCTTTTTTTTCTGCTTAATGCACAGAACATAATAATTCTTCTGTTACTGCTTTACTTTTGCATGCTTGTGTCTCCAAATAGGCCTCTGAAGATGCTAAGAAACTTGTTGATGAGGAAAGAGCTTTTGCTCGAGCTGAAATTGAGAATGCTAGAGCCGCAGTTCAAATAGTGGAAGAGGCCCTTCAAGAGCAAGAACAAATATCTCGAGCTTCAGGCAAACAGGTTTTTGTTGTTTTTTTTTAATATTATGTTTATTGACTTCCAAAGTTTGGTTATGGGGATTTGCATTTTAAAAGATCTACCTGCTAAATGCATCTAGCTTTATACTGATACTTCTCTCTTTCCACATTGCGTTGACCGTAAAAAATATCTACTGCTTAGGCATATCTTATTTTACTATCAATTAATACAAATTTCATATGTATACTGTTCTTTTGCGAGCCTCTCGGGTTCGTCATAGCAGTTTCTACTTTGTGCATTTTATTGTGGCAAATTTTTCTATATTTCTGTCTTTTTCTTTGATAACAAATATTTCATATGGATTTCAGGACTTGGAAGAATTAATGAAGGAGGTTCAAGAGGCTAGAAGGATCAAAATGCTACACCAACCTAGCAAGGTTTATCTTACATCCATGACTGATTTTTTTCATCATTAGTATTTTAAAACATTCTTTTAAATTAGTATGGGGTTTACAGCTTGCTTCTGTCTCAATTTTTTCTATCCTTGAAAATTGGTTTATTTTTGTGCATGATGCAAGTTGTATGTGGCTGTTGTAGAATTTCATAGTCTTTTAGTCCTACAAACTCATAATCTTATATATAGTACAAGGAATTTAGAATATCATTTGCGCTAACTGTATTTTGGAGATGGAGAACATTGTTTTTGGAGTAGTTTCATCATCTTCTGCAGGTCGGGATGGTGTGCGGGTGTTGATGGGATTTCATGTTTAATCCCTGTTTCCTAGCCCTAATCTTTTGAGGTATATTAATGCCTTAAAGCTGTTAAGCCTTTTTTTGGATTAAGTTAAGGGAAAAAATCTATCTGTAAAGATTAAAATACAATAAATTACAGTGAAAAAAGCAACAAATATAAGAAGTCGTTTGTTACCATATGCATGGTATATGCTTATATTTTTTATCTTTTAAATATGATTTAATTGTAGGGCTTATCTAGGCTAAGGTAAAGTACCTACTTTTTTAGTTTGTTGCTGCTGCTTCTGTGGCTGCTGTTATTTAAAGATATGATTACCATAAAGCAAGTCTTAATATGACTGTGATCCTCTCTTGCTCTCCAAGTGAAGAATTAAAAGAAAAAGGAAATGGGCTTTTGTGATGAACACCATTGAACACCATTCACTTGCTAGTGATGAATATCGTTCTTCTGAACATGAAAATCATTATTAGAACATGCACGTAGACATTTCTTCTGTGGCATTCTTCCACAGAGAGGTTTGAGACAACAATGAAATGGGATGCATAGTGTTAACCAATGCAGTTTGAATTGGTGTCTGACTTATGGGGACAGAGCCGATTCTTGGCACAACGTTTGGGTTATTAATTAGAATTTTTGTTCAAATGTTGCATTCTTAACTTTTCTGTTTGTCTCTTGCATACTGCTATCTAATTGAATAATGGTTTGTCTTTGGTTTCAAAATGAATCAAGCTATTGAAGGGCTTGCTTAATATTAAGGCTGTTTGCACAAAAAGCAAACCTTAGCGAGTTTTTTATATTAATATATGTTGAAACATCCCCTAAAATATGTGTGCTTTGCAGCATGATTGATCAAATTGACACCATTTCTGCAAGATGTTCTTTTCAATTCATTTTTAGTTGAACTAGTGGATGAGTTAAACAAATAACAATTTGCAGGTTATGGATATGGAACATGAGCTTCGTGCATTAAGGATTCAACTTGCAGAGAAGTCTAAGCATTCCCTACTGCTTCAAAAAGAGGTTTGCCTTTTACCTTTAGTTCTGTAGATTTTGTTAATCAGTTTCTTTCAGTCATTCTAGTCGCGATAGTTCAATGAATGTTCGTAGTTTTCTGGCTTATTCTCGGTTCTTCTGAAGATTTTTTTTGGTGGTACAATAGTGAGCCACAAACTTTACATTTCTTTCGCACTTTCCATTCCTTTTAGCATATTGGTATGTGCTTTGTTGTAGGAACATTGTCTGAAACTAGAAAGTTAGCAAAGTCTATGTATCTTTGTTAAAATGTACTGATCTGAACTTCTCTGGTTTCAGTAGATTGAGGGCCTCATATGTTTCTGATGCATATTTCAAATGTTTGAACCAATTTAGATGTCTATTCCTCTATTCCTAAGAAATGTAAAATAAGGCTGAATCTGTTTTTTCCTTGAATTGTGCTTCAGCTCCGTAGTTCATAAGATTGTTTTTCCGTTTCAAACTCAGATATACAGAAATAGGTGGATACTTAGTATCATTTCTTTTTCTAGTTTGTAGTGCTATACCGGTATTCTTTCTGAAAGATTTTCAATTTAACTCTTCTGGTTCATTCATTTTCTAATTTCTTACAGGCTTTTGTGTGGAATGGACTGGTGCATATGATTGTAGTTCCCTTCGTTTTCTTTAATCATTGACTTTTTTTAACCTTCTGCTTTCCTTAACCAATTTTTGCAGCTAGCAAGAAGCAAGAGAATCGAGGAAAATTTATCTCATTTGTATGAATTGGGGGGGGCTGAAATTTTAGGTTCATATTTGCGGATTAAACGTTGTTCTGATATTGCTCCAGAACTTTCCCAATGTTCAATTCAGTGGTATCGTATTTCATCTGAAGGTGGCAAAAAGGAGCTTATATCAGGTAAAAATAAGCCATTGATTGTTTACTTTTTGTGTTTAAGATTACTAATAGGTGGTATTTGATGCATGGTAAACTGATTTTCCTGATGAAAGGAATATTAATGTCATAGCATGTTTTTTGTCTTCATTTGCTTTATTATGCTGATTATTTTAGTAAATATGTTTAGATGTTGTTGCCCATCATGCGGTATTTTAATTACCTTGTCAGCCAATCATTGTTTTAACTCTTTTTATTCCTTAAAGTTAAACACATCGTGGCTGTAGATAAATATAATTTTTGTTGATTTATTTAATTAACGTTGGAGGTGTTAAAATTAAGGCTTTGGAGAATAACTTGCTAATCCCTTGGATTAGCCTTTCATTATATAGACAATACTAAGGAAAGAGAACCAATTATAAATTACACATTAATGCTCCCAATTAATCCATCCTAAACTATTTCCCATGAAATATTCCCATAATATTCCAACTCACACACACGCATACACTAACACTCCCCCTTAAGCTGGAGCATATATATTAGTCATGGTGAGCTTGTTACATAAATAGTCAACTCGAACTTATGGAGGTGATTTCATAAGAATATCGGCTAGTTGTTCCCCCATGCACACATGCTTCAATAATATTTTTCCACTTTGTAACTTTTCCTTGATTAAATGACAATCAACTTCTACATGCTTGGTTCTTTCATGAAATACTAGATTGGAAGCAATATGAATTGCTGCCTGATTATCACATCATAGCTCTGTAGGGATCCGAACTGAAAGCCCAATTTCATCTAAGAATTGAACCATCCATAATACCTCTATTGTAGCCAAAGCCATGGCTTTATACTTTGCTTCTGCGCTATACCTAGCAACTACTTGCTGCTTTGCTCTTCTAGGACACCAGATTACTCCCAAGGAAGATAGCATAACCAGATGTAGACTTTCTATCTATGGGATAGCCTGCCCAATCTGCATCTGCATAAGCTCAAATACCCCCATCACTAGTAGAATTGTAGAGTATCCCTTTTCCAGGATTTTTCAACAAATATCGGTGGATGTGCATCGCTACACTCCAGTGAGGATCTCTAGGAGCTGCCATGAATTGACTAACCACACTCATTGGAAAAGATATATTAGGTCTCGTCATGGTCAGGTAATTTAGTTTTCCAACTAGTCTCCTGTAAGGTGTGGGATCATCAAATAAGTGCCATCTTTTGGAGAAAGCTTAATACCTAGATCCATCGATGTGTCTCTTGGCTTGGCAAGGAATAAGCCTGCATCTCTTAAAATATCTATCATGTACTTCCTTTGAGATACAAAGATTCCCTTTTTACACCTTGCCATTTCAATACCTAAAAATTTCAATTGACCAAGATCTTTGGTCTCAAACTGGGACTTAAGATATATCTTAAGTTTGTTAATCCTTGTACTATCACTGCCGGTGATGATGATATCATCTACATACACTTCCAACAATATAAGGCCAGAACTTTGCCGCATATAAAATACTGAAAGATCCTTCTCACTCTGCCGCATGCCACACTGAACGAGAGCTGCACTAAATTTGTTGAACCATGTGTGTGGAGATTGTTTCAGGCCATACAGAGACCTACGCAAACGGCAACACCTTCCCAGATTCCCGCTGAGCAACAAACCCCAGTGGTTGCTTCATATATACCTCTTCAGCCAAGTCACCATGGAAATTATTCTTCACATCCAATTGATAATGGCCATTTATGTGTAGCAACTAAACTAAGAATAGGCAAATAGATGTCATATTTGCCACTGGTGAAAAGGTTTCAAAGTAATCTACTCCATATGTCTACGCATATCCTTTCGCTACTAGCCTTACCTTCAATCTAGCCAGTGAACCATCAGGATTCAATTTTGAGGTGTAAACCCACTTGCACCCAATAACTTGCTACCCATCTGGCAAGGAAACCAAGTTCTCTGTAAGTTCTGTATGGTTGGCCCCTAAGGCCATCATCTCATCCTCCATAGCCTTACGCCTTCCTGAATCCGCAAAAACATCACGAAGAGTACGCAGCACAGTAATGAATCAATTGTGGCAATAAAAGTTTGGTTGAAGTTGAGTAGAAAGTCCTTTGTACAAGGGCGTGTATAAAGCAAAATTTCTGCAATTTCATGTACCTTTCCATAGAGCAATTGGTACAATCCTTAGCCATAGTGTCTCGAGGTGGATCTATCAACAGAGAGATTGTCTCGATTAGGGAAGTTTCCACAGGCTGATCTTTGAATATCAGGGCATGCCTTAAAAGAAGATGCATTGATCAGTGTACTATGTATCTGATAGATGAGAAAATCTTCTTCTGATATGATAGGTGATGGATGAGATTGTAGTATCGAAGGAAAATGAATCGACTCATGAAACGTGACATATGCCGTAATAATAAAGTGACCCGGGTCTAGAGACTAGCATCGATACTCTCTTGGGACATGTGAATAACCTAGGAAGATACACTTAAGGGAATGTGGGTCTAATTTAGCGTGAACCAGACGAGTGCTATGAACAAAACATGTGCACCCAAACACCTTAAGGGAGATTGGAAATAAGGGATGTTCAGGACACAATACTTGAAGATGAACTTTTCCTTTAAGGACTGAGGACGATAAGATAGCATGCTGTAAGGACAGCTTCACTCCAGAACACCTCAAGAACCTTCATTTGAAACAAAAGAGCTCTAGCCACTTCCAACAAATGATGATTCTTCCTTTTAGCAATCCCATTTTGCTGTGGAGCATCTGTACACTAGTATTGATGAACAATACCTTTTGCATTTAGCAATCGAACAAACTTTGTAGAAAAATACTCTCCCCTATTATCACTCCGTAAAACTTTGATAGACTTACCAAATTGATTCTCTATTTCTGCATGAAAGGTAGGGAAGACAGAGAATAATTCGGAGTGGCTCCGCAACAAATACAACCAACAAACTCGTGAATAATCATTAACAAATGTCACAATGTATCTATAACCAGATTTTGAAATAATAGGATAGGTCGCCATACATCAGAATGAATCACAGTAAAAGGAAACTTTTCTCTTTTATTAAATTGAGGTCAATATGACATTTTCTATAGTTTGGCAAACTTGCACGATTCACAATCAAAATTAAAAGACGATAAATGTGGACATTGCTTGTAAAGTTGACATGGATGGATGACCGAAACGACAATGAAACTCATAAGCTGATGACAATTCTCCTGAGTATGTCATTAGTCTAGACTGTATCTTATGTATATCATTATGAATATAAAGACCTCCTTCGATCTTTCTGCTACCAATAGTTTGCTTCATAACAGATCCTGAAAAACACAAAAAGTAGGAAAGAAGGAGACACTACAATTCAAATTTCTTGTAATTTGACTAATTGAAAGTAAGTTAAAAGGAGAAGAAGGGACATGCAGCACAGAATGTAAAGGTAACGTGGATATAGTTCAAGCCCTGCCACTTCACACGATATCTATAGAGTTTCCATTAGCAACCAAAACAGACTGTTTCCCCATCATAAGAGTATATGAATAAAAAGTAACTGTAGTACCCTTCATGTGATCCAAAGCTCCTTAATCAATCACCCATGTCCTGGAGGGGGTAACCAGGTATGCAAAAGATTTACCTTATATAAAAGTTGTTGTTGGAGGGGAGATCAAAATCTGATTCTGAAGCATCTGAATAAGCATGTCATACTCATCTTGGGATAATTGAACTCCCTTCTCCTTTTGCTGCTAGTGGGCCAAAATTACCTCAAAGATGCGGACAAACATTCCATAAGTGTCCCTGCTGTCCACAATGATAGCAGAACCGTGGGTCTCCTCTACTAGTTCCACGTGCTCTACCTTGTCCACTACGTCCTCCGTGTGGTGCTCGCCCTTCATGTTGTGAGGCCACAAATACTGCTCCTGTCTTCCTATGGAGGATCATGCTAGGGGATCCTGCTCAGGCACTTATAAGCATCCAGTAAAGAAAGTGGATCTCTGCCGGCTAACATCTGAGTACTAGCACTGGCGTACTCTTTTCTCAATCCTGCTAAGAAAAACACAACAGCTAGAACCTCTCTTTGCTCTTGGTTTGTCTTCAAATCGGTAAACAATGGCATGAGTTCATTAAACTTGTCATATACATCCTTGAACGCAAGAAAATATTCCCACAGGCTCCTATCGGATTGCTCCATTCTAGTCCACGCCCTGGTAACATTTGAGATCCTTTGCCAATTATTAGAATTTGCATAAGCAATTTTTTAAGCATCCTAAAGTTCCTTACTTGTGAGGTATTGATTGAACATTACCTTGACTCGTCGTTCCATCGAGTTGAACAATTGTCCAAATACTTGATTGTCCTGCTCCCACACTGCATACTCCGAGCTTTCCTTTGTTGGCAGCTCACTTGTCAGAAAATAAGCCTTTCCAAGACCTTGCAAGGTCACCAACATAGTCTTATTCCGTGACAAGTAGTTGGAGCCATCAAGTTTCTCATCCAACAACCTTGAGCCCTTGATAATCTCCCGAGTTATCAATTTTGATGTGGTTGCCTGTTCTTTGGTCGTGGCCACAAAAACTAGTTCTACAGTCACGTTCTACATTGAGAAGAACTTGTCTCCCTTAATCAATAATTCACAAAGAGGTTGCAACCCTTTCTTTTTGCCACCTTTGAGAATAAGGGGGCGGCCCCCTTTCAACAAATGAGGGACTATTGAAGAGGAAGGAAAGGCTTTAAGTATGCAACTTTAAGGCTGCGAGATCAAAGTCTATAGTAGTGATGGCTTGGGTGACAACGCGGGGCTATTGCAAAGGGATTTGGGGAAAGAGAGAGAGAGGAGGTTGCGCTGCTGGCTCTGATGCCATGTTAAAATTAAGGCTTTAGAGAACAACTTGCTAATCCCTTGAATTAGCCTTTCATTATATAGACAATACTAACTAAGGAGAATCAATTACAAATTACACATTAATGCTCCCAATTAATCCCTCTTAAACTGTTTTTCATGAAATATTCCTATAATATTCCAACTCACACACATGCATACACTAATAGGAGGTTAAGCATGCAAAATAGTGTTACCCATGTTCAAGTATCCCATTAGACATTAAGTGGTCTAAAATGCAAGGATTATCAAATGGGATAGCATGTTATTTCATGATATTGAAAATCAATATGTTTGTCATATTCAAATCAATGGAATTAGTGGGGATGTCAATTTATCCATATTCAATTAGAAAATCAATTTTTTACCCAAGTGGAGATGGTATGGGTATCAAATTTTGGGAATATGGACAGAAATGGGTATGATTTTTAAATACCTTTTGGGCATGGAATGGGAATGGACACTATGTCACCCACCTTGTATTGGCACCCAATATATATTTAATAAATATATAAATATAAAACATATTTTATATGTATAATAAACTGTTTAGTATAAAAACTAAAAAAATTTCCCCTTCTTTGTTTTCCATCTCCTCTCTCTACACTCAAAATTCCCTGTTCTAGGGGTTAGTGTAATAAATATTTTAAACCCTTGTTCATTTCCCTCAACTTCTCTCTCTACTCGACGGTTGTTTCTCCTCTCTAAAACCCAAAAAACCCTAGCACCATTTCTCCACTGTCCTTGTTGATTCCAGTCACCAGAATGCTCCCTACTTTCCTTCTTTCCCGCCCCTTTGACATCCCTAATCTGAATTTGTATCCCTAATATGGTAACCTGAGTTGAGGTTTATTAAATTTCCATGAACTTTTGATGAACTTTCAGAGATTATGCTTGCATTATCAATTCAGCCTATGGATTTTATGATAATTTCTGTATACACAATTTGATGTTTGTGTCTGTTCTTTTCCCTGGCTGGCAATATAGGTACAGCTACTTTAAGTTTTACTCTTTTTTAATAAAAACTGAAGTTAGCTGTTATTAATTATTGCTAATTCTGTAGTCAACTAGATTATAGGAGAAAGAAGACTATGGCATGGATGGACTGAGCTACAAAAGAAAGTCAACGTAACTTGGCATTGATTAAGTAGGCAGACTTTCTTTCTTTTTTTTTTATTGGGGGGGGGGGTTGGGGTGAGGTGGGATGGGTTGTTTTTGGTTAAGAGTAGTTTATCCATAACAGAATAATTTCAGTAAGCTACGCGGAAAACATTAGTGAAGTAAGCATTATTGACATCAAGATGCTAATGCCTGACTCTTATGGGCAAGAGAATGATCTATTTCCCTTTTGGATCTGATTTTGTTTTTCTACCTTGCTTTATCCAGGTGCTAGCAAATCAGTTTATGCTCCGGAGCCTTTTGACGTTGGTCGAATCCTGCTGGCTGAGATTATTTATGATGGCCAGCTAATCAAATTGACAACTACTGGTGCTATTGATCCAGGTTTGCTATGCTGGTTTTTTCTTTTCATGCCTACTTCTAATTTTTTATTTTTGAATTTGGTAAAATTTTATTTCTCATTATTTATTGAAATTTATAACCTTTGGTTCTTTGTTTGTGAGAGCAGCTGCTGGTTTGGGAAACTATGTGGAGGCACTTGTGCGGAAACATGATGTTGAATTCACTGTATGTTATCCTACTTTAAAAAATTCACTCATATATGGCTAAATGGATGGTGTTATTCTTTATTTGGTTTGGGTATTTCAATTAGGATTTGGTCATTGATTCTATCTATACTTATTTAGTTATAGTTTTATTTTGGTAAACTTTTTTTCCATTTATACTTCAGGGCAGATAAATAAGAGTTTCCACTTGGAACCAACTTTTCTTTGTAATTAAGATGCACCTACCATTGCTATCTTGTTAAAAATGGTTCCTTAGGAAATGATCTCTTCTCTGTTTATTTTTGTTCCAGATATTACATTGTTCTGTGAATAGTCTACTGTTTCTGCAGCTCATTAGAGCATTGAATATCTAAACTTCTCCCCTTATCCTTGCTGGAATTGTAAAACCTAAACAATCTCCCAGACCTTAAAGCCTTAAAATTATAGAAAAATAGTTTTTAATTTAGAGCACCTGCGCCAAGAGGACTTCCTGTCTAGCGTAATTCTCTGGTGCAAGTATTGGTTGCTTGGTTACCAATGAACCTTAACTTTCTTGTCGTTGACCCTGCTCCTCATTAACCAAATAGGCTTTACGCTCTTGCTAGCACTTGTTTCATCAGTGCATCCAGTTTTGGTTCATAAATTGACATGCTGAAAAGGTTTTACCAATGGTTAATTGGCTTAATTTCATCTCATCTGTTTTGCACTTGTTTGAGGTATGGTTGGATAGATGAGAATAATGTTACTTGTATCTGCTAAAAAATTTAACTATTTATTTCTTTGTTTTTGCTTCTAAATTATGTATATTTTACAGGTAGTTGTTTCCTAAATGAATGGATAACGAATATGCTTCTCATATCTTCTGTAAAGATTTTAACCACTTATATCTTTATTTTGGCTTCGAATATTATATCATTACAATTTTATTATTTTATCAGGTAGTTGTTACCCAAATGAATGGTTCAGATCATCCATCAGAATCTATTCATGTACTACATGTGGGAAAGATGAGGATGAAGCTATGTAAAGGAAAGACAACAATTGCTAAGGAATATTATTCCAGCTCAATGCAGGTATTAAAGTCCTGTAAATTTTTGCATTAATGAAAGATGCTTTGATGTTGTTTGAGGATAGTTCTGTGCATATCCTTCACATTGTTCCTTTTTGGCTTTTCTTTGGGTGGTTTTGTTTAGAAGAAATTGTACATGCTAGGCACTGAAACAAGTAAAAGGAAAAAAACATAGAATGAGAATTGCATGCAAAAATGTGGATAATGCTCTCTCTATACATCTTTACAAATAATCAACAAATTGATAAGAAACGTGATTTCTGATATTCATGTCTGATGTGTGTACTATGTTTTGTTTCTTACACCTCGTGCTTATGCTTTAGCTGTGTGGAGTTAGAGGGGGCGGAAATGCAGCCGCCCAGGCATTGTTTTGGCAAGCAAACAAAGGGCTTTCAGTTGTATTAGCATTTGAATCAGAGAGAGACAGAAATGCAGCCATTATGCTTGCTAGGAGATTTGCTTTTGACTGTAATGTAAGTGGTTGTCCAAATTCTGCTTTTTTACACCGAATGCGTTTGAGTTGAAACCTGTGAAGTTTTCTTTTCTTTCACTGTTTTCCCCCCTGGTAAATGAATGTTTTCTTTTTATTTTTGAAAATGCCAGATCATGCTCGCTGGCCCTGATGACAGAGATCTTTAGGAACCTAATAGATCCTCAGAATTCTGTTTTGCTAATTGTAATTGCTTTGAGTTTTATCATGTATCATAAGTTTGTAATGCTAGGACGTGACATTATTTGATTCTGTATTGGGTTTCCACCATTCTTTTTTTTTTTTTTTTTTTTCCTATTTTGCCTTTTCCTTTTGCATTCTCCTGTCCCAATATAAAGGCATTGTTTTTGGTTTGCCTTTCGTATTAACATAACATATTCAGACCTAGCTTTGGAGGATTTCTGGAGCAGTCTATATTTGTTGAATGGTTTATGCATAACGACTGATGTGTGAATGATGAGTTCCCAATTTGATATAGGCCATTTCATTATATTAAGTGTTATTGTATTGCCCTTTTATGGTTTTCCTATGTACAATTGGTATAAAAAAATTTGTAGCTGTGCCTATGATATTTGAAAAAGCTAGCCACATTTCTATGTCAATATCCATATTTCTGTTTATCCTCGTATTTCATGTGCTTGGTGGTTCATCTAAGGCTCATTTACTGGCTTAAGAATAAGCTTAAGATTGGCTCAACCCAACTTCAAGCGCCCACAAAAAAAAAAAAAAAGGTAATATGGATGATGCAGAAAGGACAATTCCGACCAAAAATTACATTGTTTTTTTTTTTTTTCCAACAAAAAATATAACCATCTTTCAAATACATGGATGAATTACATTGCTTAGTACCAAAATAAATAAATAAATAAAAATCCAACTATAATAATGTAATCGTTAAAATATTGAATTGTAAATTTGCTATAAAGAAGTCATATAATAATAAATTAAAAGTTCGAATAGTAACTATCTGTGAAGAAACTAAAATTACGAAGTTTGTGTGGAAAAAAAAAATCATAATATATTGTTAATATTTCTTAATCCGCATATGACACATTAGCACTCTTGACATCAAATTCTGGCTTAGTCCTCACCTACGACAGCAGCTTGATATTATTAATTGGAATTTTACAATGGTACTTCACATTGGTTACAAATCGCTTAAAGTATAAATTAAGATCGTTGTATTTTTTGTGTTTAAGATTTTTTTTTGATTGATCTAAATTAATTGATATGATATTAAAATTAAGATTTAAAGATTATAAATTCAAAAAAATTTATATACATAATATATTTTTTTAACTAAATACAAAGAGGATTCAAGAATCAAGAGTCTATAAAAAAAATTTAAAATATTTTCCTTTTTTTTATAAATATAAAGATAAAAGAATTTCAAATATTAATATTTAAATCTTAAATCTATTGAATTTTATATTCGGATTCAAATCAACACTTTCCTTTTTGTATATCTAAGTTAAAAAAATTCAAAATATTTCAAGATTTTCCTCTCCATGGAAAGGTACTTAATTCAGCCACGTTTTATCAAGGAAATAAATATCTCTAAGCACATAACTAATAACTTAGAAATTAAAATTAAACTCTGGCTTTCTCCATATGCACCTAGAATTAATATATATATATATATATATTATATATGAGTATAGATTTATTTTAGTGTAATTCTTATATTTTTTTACTTTTAAATTAAAATTAAATTTATAACTCGTTTGAATAAATCTATACTCATATATATATATATATATATATATATATAGGAGATATCCACTTAAATAATGTAAAACTAAAAATGTTTTACATATTTTTTTAACTATGATTTGAACAGATCTAAGGGATGAGAGAAATAAGTAAAAAAAAAAAAAAAAAATTTAATGTTATCTCTTGGAATTATTAAAATGAATAATTAAAAAAATATGTAAAATTTTTTTAATTTTACATTGTGTAAATTGATTTTTTTCATATATATGAAAAAAGATCAACTTATACATAATAGTATCAATCTTACTTAACGAACTCGATTTTTACTTGAATAGGGATGGAAGATGAGAATCGCGATGGTGACGGAGAATATAGCATTCACCTCGTACATGTATTCTACATATATAATATTTAATAAATAAATTTTTTATTAAATGATGTAAATTATTATTTCAGATTAATTAGAATTAATACATTTTTATTGACAAATATATATCAATATATATTTATAAAAAATTATCTAAATATACAAGATAAAAATAAAAAACTAAAAAAATAAAATTTTATTTTATTATTTTTTAAATTATTAATATGAGGATTACACATACTCATTACATATCCATAAAATAAAGATGGAGATAGATTTGAAATATTTATTGGATATGAGTACGAAGATAGATAAATATAAAAATCTGAAGACAAAAAATGCTTTACCCATCGTATACCCTATCATTAATATCTCTATTTATAAGTTTTACATATTTTTTTAATCATTTATTTTAATAGATTTAAGGGATATGAGAAAAAAATCAACTTACACTATGTAAAATTAAAAAAAAAAAAAGTTTTACATATTTTTCTAACAATTTATTTCAATGCATCAAAATGGTGAGAGATAAGTAAAAATAGAAAAAAATATTTTAATATTATTTCTTGAATTTATTAAAATCAATAATTAAAAATATATAAAATTAAAAAAATTTTACATTATATAAGTTAATCTCTCTTTTATATAGAGAGAAATCAATTTACACAAAAAATTTTATACTTTTTTAACCTTTTAATGCAAGGGACGAAATTAAACATCTTTTTATCGTTTTCATTTATCTTTGTTCTTTAAATCTATTTAAATCAATAATTAAAAAAATATAAAATATAAAATTTTAAATTGGTGTAAGTTTATTCTTCTCTCATATATTATATTTATTTATTTATTTATATATTCCCCAAAAAATCATTGTATCGGTCCTCCTCACCCTACTTTTTTGGGCCATTACTCGTCCACGGTTTAAGAATTATTGGATATTTTAAAGTAGCCACAGGTGGTAAAGGTGTTAAAAATCTGTATTAAATCAACAAAAAATTTGCAAATCAATTATTAAATAATTGGATTTTAAACCTTATTTAATTTAATTTAAAATTTGAAATTAAGATAAAAGTATATATTTAAGTTACTGATAAATAATGTTTTTAAGTTTTACTGTACAATGTTGTTTTGTTTAGGTGATATCAAAATAAAGGATAGTAGTCTAAAAGTTTTAATATATATATAAAAAATTGAAAGTTCAAATCTCACAGTACACTATCCTTATCCTATGAATAATAATAATAATAATAAAAAATAATAAAATTTATGAAATTTTGTTGGCTTTAAGAGTGATAACAGTTACTTCAATTCAGATTTGATTTGATTTTGATTCAGATTTGATTTGATTTAATTTTTTAAATATTATATAATATTATAAAAATTTATAATTTGATTTGAATATTCATTTAATTTAAATCGAACCGATTCAAATTTTACAGATTTGATTTAGTTTAATTTATTGATTTTTAATTTTTTTAATTTTATATATTATTTTAATATAAAATTTTAATATATTTAAGTAGATTTTGATATAAAATTATTAATTTTATTTTATAAAATTTTACAAAATATATAAAAATTAAAAAATATATATAATTTGATTCGATTCTATTTTTTTGATTTTTTATTTTTCGATTCAAATATAATATATATTTACTATTTAAATTTGATTCGAATTAAATAAAAAAAATTGACCCGAATCGAATAAAATATTATAATTTAAAATAAATTTTAAATTTCTCATATATATTTTTTTTACCCGTAGTTGGCCTTGCCTTTGAGGTATATAACTTAGTGAGTCTTTGCCCAAAAAGAAAAACAAGAAATCTTGAAGTAGGTCCACAAAATCTTGATATTACAAATATCGTGAAACATGCTTTTTAATCGAAGAAGAAAGATTAATTTGGATAGAAATCATTATCAAGCAAAGTTATTTTATATATCGGCCGACAGTCTTTTTATTTGTTTAAATTTTATAAACGTTCGAAGGATTAACACGTTAATGAACAAATATTAAACAAATTATAGAAGTGCTTTGCACTAATGAATAAAAGAAAAAAAAAATAAAGATGTCTGCCATTCACTAACTATAGCCACGTGATATCTCCACTCTAAATGTGTCGAGTTCGGGGTCCTGCCCTCATTGTTCTTAAAATAAAGGCCCATAATTTTTTGGTTTCTTTTAACCCAGAAATTGGAAGTCTTTATTTTAAATGACGTGGGATATAGACAAAAGACATCAATAGGTGGTTTATGGGATGGATAAAGTATTTTTTATTTTATTTTTGAATTTTTATGTTATATTTATATTTACATTTTTATGAGTATTTAATGAATATGAATAATTTTTATATTTACAATTTTTTAAAATAAATAAAAATAAAAATTTATATTTTAGTGTTTTTTATTTTTATCTTGTGGGACTGTTTTAATGTATTGAAAAAAAGGGAAAGCTGCCAGAGAAGTTAAAAAAAAAAGGGTTGTCGAGACCTGAGAAAAAATAAGGAGAAAAGGGAGTCTTTAGTTTATCAAGTGATTGAAAGAAGGTTGATTTGTAGTTTAATTGAATTAAAATTTATTAGCACGTTTATTACCCAGTGTTTTATATTTTGAATAATAAAAATTAGATTAAAGTTTTTTAAGAATAAATCAAGAGTGTATTTGATAAAATTTGTCTATTTGTTTTTTTAATTGTTGTTTAACTATAATTTTAATTAGAAGAGAATTTTTTATAAATATTATTTAATAATAGAAATTTTTTTTGGTACTTCATAATTTTATTTTTTTTTGCGTAAATTTGATGTTTTTTTTCTACATTATTATTATTATTATTGGCTCGTGAATTTGTTATTTATTTGTTGTAAGTTTATTATGATATATTATTTTTATATTATTATGTTTATCGCTTCAAATTAACAAGTAATATCAAAATTATAGTTATTTTCGAGACGTCGATCTGTAACAAATTGAAATAGAGTTATTGTAGTAATTAATAAATTCTATTTGATATCATTGTGAGTAATATAAGTTTTATGATAAAATTAATAGTTTCAAATTATTCAATTTAAAAGTCAATGGAAGATCATTAATATTGTAAAATTTTGTGTAGATCAAAATTAAGTGATTTAGCTAAATCAACAGATATAAAAAATGAAAATAAATAAATTAAGCAAAAATAAATAGTTCATAAATTTGACAAATAGATAATGTAAGAAATTATAAAATTTTTTTTGATATTTAACTCAATTTATATACGTAATTACTTTTAAAAGATGATATATAACAAATGTGAGGTTTAAATTTCAGGATTTAGAATCCTTTTTCCTATCAAAGTTATGAGACTTTTTTTTTAATAAAAAATATAAAAATGCTAAAATGATCTATAGTTCAACTCTTCGGAAAAAATAAATATATTTGCTATTTATTATTTTTCATGTCATTTATGAGTAGTTAATTTTTAGTCAAAATAAAATAGATAATTCTAAAATTAATTGTAAGACAATCCATGATCCTTTTTACTTGGTAAAATTATTCTTTTCAGAAACAGAATATGCATTATGAGACATTTAAATACATATAATTGATGATTTATTGCACTCCAACTAACTCCAAGGCTTAATTACTAGTGGTATTTGGTAGGAATAAGAACTAAGGCTTCTTTCTTGTAATTTGTTAGACCAGCAGCCTCTTCCATGTTGAGATCTTCTGCTTTGAGCGCATTGGGCAATTTCCAGTCAAAATGATACAAGAGATTTGCAAGTGCAAGCTCCACATTCAGAATTCCCATATTCATTCCAGGGCAGCTTCTTCGACCGGCACCAAATGGTAAAAGCTCGAAATTCCGCCCCTTAAAATCGATAGGGCTATCCATAAACCTTTCCGGGTTAAATTGGTCGGGGTTTTCCCAGCTCTCAGGATCTCTTCCGATTGCCCATATGTTGACTTGGATGTGAGTTTTGGGGCAAACGCTGTAACCATTAATGTTGAATTGGGAAATGCATTCTCTTGGAAGTAAAAGTGCCCCGGGAGGATGCAGTCTCAAGGTTTCCTTAATCACCATTTTGAGGTATTGAAACTGATGGATGTCACATTCAGAGACTCTTCCTTTCTCTGCTACGCAGTTTCTGATTTCATCTTGTGCTTTCTTCATCAATATTGGGTTTCTAACAAGCTCTGCCATAGCCCACACCACCAAAGCCGAAGTAGTGTCAACGCCAGCAAAAAGTATATTCTAGCAGTAGGTAATTAGCAAAGAGGTTAGTCTTATAATGAAGCAAAAAAAGAAAAAAAAAAAAACCTAAAATTGGATAAATACCATACCATAAGAATGCCTTTAATATGATCTTGGGTGATTTGAAGAGAAGTGTTAGTCTGATATTTCTTTATTTGCAGCAGAACATCAATTATATCTTCAGCTTCTTGTTTCTGCCTGCCAGTGCGTAGATGGTCATCTATTAACATTTGGTAGAAAAGATCCAAATCCTGGAAAACCCTTTCAATTCTTCCATGCAGACCTCTGATCCTGTCTATGATCCAACCCACATAAGGAAAGAAGTCAGATGCAAAGAAACTTCCCATTATACCCAAAGCTTCATGAATCAGTTCATGCAATTTGTTGTGGTCCAATTCCCTGTCTTTTGAGCTCTTACCAAAAGCAACCCTACAAATCAAATCCATAGTGAGAGACATCATCTTCTGAGTAAGGTTAACAGGAGATTCAGAAGAGGACGACTGAGAGATTGACTCAATCATCAGACCAATCTCTTCTTCTCTTATGAACTGAAATGATTGAACCCTTTTGGCACTAAATAGCTCATGATTACATATTTTTCTCATCTCCCTCCAATAGCTTCCATAAGGAGTGAAAGCTACATCAAGATAATTGTAGGAAAGTCTTCCTGCGCCAGCTAACAGAGGTCTGCTGCAACAGTCAAGATCATTGGTTGTCAAGATTTTTCTTGCTGCATCAGCGGATGAGACAACCAGAGTAGGCACACTGCCAATCTGAAGTAGCATGACAGGGCCATATTTTTTGGATAGTTGATGCAGAGAGCGGTGAGCCAATGGACCAAGTTGGTGTAAATTGCCTATGATTGGAAGCTTAGGAGGGCCTGAAAGAACCTTCTTGCTATGCTTCCTTGCTCGAATCTTCTCTATAAGAAGAAATAGAAAGGAGAAAAGCAGCAGAAATTGAAGCCACAAGGGCAACTTAACCTCATCTTTCATGGCTTCCAGGCTAGAGCTTTTCTGACTATCTTTCACTAGATTCAATGGGCTGATGTTGGTTTACTAAGACAAGAAACAATTTAAAGTTGATAATAAGCTTAATATGCAGCATATATATATATATATATATATATATATCTATATAGTAGATTTGACAATTTGTATATTTATATGGTATAAAATAATGAGAATTTATGTATTTATATTGTGTTTTAGGCAAAAATTACATATTACAATTTATATCTATACAAAAATACGAAATATATATATTTTATTTATGTTAAACATATATATGTTTTTTACTAAAATTTTAACGTGTTATCTTTATATCTTCTTTTGTATAGTTTTCGTGTCGTGTTTTAAATTGTTTGATCTAACTGCAGGTAAAATTTTTTTTGTTTTACTATATCTATTTATCATTTTTTTTTTGCAAAATTTATCAAATTAAAATAGAAAAGAAAAAACAAACAAGAATGAAACGTGTATATCTTAATTGGCTCACTTTTCTTATAAAATTAATCTGAAAAATAAAAAAATGTAAAAAGTAGAAAAACAATAAATGAAAATAGTTTGAAAAAAATCAAAAAAAAATTATAGACACTTTATTTAGTCTGGATTTTAGTTATAGTTAAATTTTTATTTAATTTATTTATTTGTTTTATTGAGTTTTTTATTTAATTTATTTATTATTTTTATTGTTTAAAAAGGAGACAGTCCAAAATTATAAAAGAAAAGAATTTGGATTGAAAAAGGATTGAAATCCTTAAAAGTGTGTTTTATTTAAAATTTTGAAGTTGAAACCAAATAAGAAAAAAGTTAAGGTAATTGTTTCAAATTTGAACTCTATTAAAGTTAGAATTAAATCTCTATTTAATGTCCCACAATTAACACAAAGAGAACAATCAAGAAAGAATCAAGATCAATCAAAGAAGAAAAGCAAGAGAGTAAAAAACATATTTGTGAAAGTATTAGGCAAAAAAAAAAAAAAAAGTTTTCAGGGAAATTGTTCTGGTAATATTGTTCTTAACTCGCTCCATTGCTACAAGTCAAGTCGCCCTCTAGTTGAGTAGCCACGCTACTTCTTTTTGTCTTTATAGCTTAGTCAAGCTGCACCTTTATTCAATCAAGCTAATTTCTTTGGGGTTTTTTTTTTATGTATTAAATTATTTTTTTAGATATAAATTTTATATTAAATATATTTTTTTAATTTTACTAAATTTTTAGAGGATTTAGGCAAAAGCAAGAGAGTAAAAAACATATTTGTGAGAGTATTAGGCAAAAAAAAAAAAAGTTTTAGGAAAATTGTTTTGGTAATGTTACTTGTTAACTCGCTCCATTGCTATAAGTCGAGTCGCCTGTCTAGTTGAGTAGCCAAGCTGCTTCTTTTTGTCTTTACAGCTTAGTCGAGCCGAGTTGCACCTTTATTCAGTCAAGCTAATTTCTTTGGGTTTTTGTTTTTATTTTTATGTATTGAAATTATTTTTTTAGATATAAATTTTATATTAAATATATTTTTTTAATTTTACTAAATTTTTAGAGGATTTAAATCTCAAATTAAAATTTACCAAATTATTAGAAGGTTTAATTATTTTTAGAAAAAAAAAAGTTTTTAAATAAAATCAATACTATTAAACTATTAAAAGATTTAAATATCGAATTAAATCTTATCAAACTATTTGAAGATTTACTAATATTTTAAACAAAATCATAAATAAGTTTTGAATATCAATATTACCAAACTATTAACGAATTTAAATATTGTAATTAAATCTTATCAAACTATTTGAATGTTTAATTATTTTTTTTGAAAGAAAGTTAAATTTATATATTTTTTAATCTTACTAAATTTTTAGAGGATTTAAATCTTAAAATAAAATTTATCAAACTATTGAAAGATTTTATTAATTTTGAAGCAATAAATTATTTGGTAAATTTAAAAAAAATTTTAAGGTTTTTGATAACACAAAATCAACTGATATCTTTTTTTGGATGGACGTTGTAGGGGTGTTATAACCTTCCATGCACATAACAATACTCTCGAACCCAATTTTAGTTTCGTAGACTTGAATATATTCTTTTAAAGATACTTGAGTCAATTAGGACTTTTTTTTTTAAAGGAGATATATTTATTTAGGTGATTAATTATACTTAAAAAAAAAATTAGTGGTAACTTTTAAAATTATATTTAGCGATAGGTTCAGGGATTTATATGTTAAAATAAAAATAAAAAAAAGAGTAAATAGAAAGTACTACATTAACATCTAATATTGAATTTAAAATAAAAAATTCTTAAATTAAGATAAAAAGAATTAATTTATTATTATAATACATATATATGTATAAAATTCAATAAATAATAAAAAATGTATACACTTCTAATCTAATCTCTCCTTTTTTAAAAAAAACTCAAATTTGTCACAATTAAATTTTGATTTTTAACAATCACCCATTTTATCGAAATGAGATGGGTCAAAATCTATGAAATACGAATTATTTTGATAAACATCTTACGTTGTAAAATTTATCTTATTAAAAAATACAAAAAAAAACAAAAAGCAAAAAAACTAAAATTGAGGGTCATGTGAATATATTCATAGTTCTTTTTTTTTTTTTTTACAAAATTACTATTTTAAAAAAGATAAAAAATAAAAAAGAAAATAGTGAAAAAAAGTGATGGTTAAAAAAATTAACAAATGATAAAAAAGAAAAGAAAGCTTATTGAAATATTATGTGGACATTTCAATTGAGTAAGACTTATCAGGTAACAATTGTTTCACAATTTGCTATGAATTAACGCTTTTTGTTGCAAAATTTTTTGATTGAAAAATTGAAAGGAAAAAAGTAAATTGGGGTGTCACGTTGGCACCTATATTGTTTTTCACAAAATTTATCTAAAAAAAATCTAAAAAAAGGTTAAAAGAAAAAATAAAAATATAAAAATAAACATAAAATGAAACATTGAGACTTCAAATGGGAGTAAAAAAATTAAAATTAATCAAAATTAATATAATGGATGGATTGATTGATTGATTGATATATTACATTTTAATTAGGCATAACTATAATGTTTTATTAAATTAAGATATCAAATAATAATTTTATTAATATAATATATAAATATAAAATTAAGTAAATAATTTAACATATAGAGTCAAGATAAGGGAAAACATTTATAAATCCATCTTTGACTTGACATTAGTTTTTTGTTAAAAAACCTTAATTCGATCCCACGTAAAAAGGCACCGATTAAATCTTAATGAATTGAAATTCATTGGATACGTATTATTTTATTATTTATATTTTTATTAAATTTTTTTTTTATAAATTAATTTATCGATTGTTTTTATTATCAATTTTATGATTAAAAAGATAAAAAAGCAAAAAAATTAAAATACATTGACGTGTATGCATGAGTTGATTTTCTTTAAAAAAATTATCTAATTAAAAAAATTAAGGAAGGATAAAAAGTAAAAAAAAGAAAGATGTAATAGCTAAAAAAAAGGGGAGAAGTTGAGCGGCCACACCATATTAGCAATGATAAATCTTTCTTGCAAAATTTATATTTATATTTTAATATTTTTTTATATTTAATATTATTTTGGTTTATACTGTATTTTTTTTCACAGAGCCAATTTGATATTATTAATTAAAAACATTTTTTTCTTATTCAAGAAGATTTTAAAAAATGTTTGAAAAAATATCAAATCTAAATGCTACGTTAACATCTACATTAATATATATTTTTTATAAAATTATCTAATTACAAAAAAGTAAAAAAAATATTTTTAATTATTAATATACAACTGACCTTACTCATAAAAATATAAATATAAAAATATTTATTAAATATAAAAAAGAAGAGAAAAACTTAAGAAAATGAAAAAATGAAGAAAAGAAAAAAAAAGAGTTGGCACATAATATGAGCAATAATTATTTTATTTTTAAAAATTTATAACATGGATTTGGAAAGAAAACCAGAAATAAAAAAAAGAAAGGATGATACAATAAAATTAATAAATTTAATATGTGATGTTGACACCTCTGTTAATATCATTTTAAAAAATTTATCAAACAAAAAAGCGAAAGTAACTAAAAATATATTTTTAATAATAATAATACTAATAATAATAATAATATCAAATGAGCTAACATTTTAAAAAATTAAAAAAAATTTCAAAAATTTATTAGATAAAAAAGAAAAAATATAAATAAAAACAAAAAAAAAAGAATTATATTATTTGACACGTGTCATATTTTTTATATCAAGCCAATAAAAAATGATATCTAAAAAATAATTTATTAAATATAAAAATAGAAACAATAGAAAATGAGAGAAAATATAAAACTGAAAAAAAATACGTGGCATACTACTAATATAAAGTGGGTTTAACAAGAAATAAAAAATAATAATTAATATTTTTTAAAAAGAGAAAAATTGGTATCAAATAAGTCCAAATATATATATATATATAGTATGCATTTAAAAAAATAAAAAAGAAAATGTGTCATTAAAAAAAGGAAAAAAAGAAAAAAAATAATAGAATAATTGATCTGTCAAACAATAGTGGGTCCTATTAAAATAAAAATAAAATACATAAAAAAAATTAAAAATTTTGTAAAGATAAACCATAAAAAAGGCCCGTTAAAAAAGAATTATGTGTCTCACTTAAAAAATTGTTTAATATAAAATATAGTGGAAAAATGAAAAAATATAAAAATATATATAAAAAATTTTAAAAACAAACAAAAAGTGGATCTCACGAAATAATGGGCTCCATTGAAGAAAATACATAAAAAATTTTTTTTTGAAAAGCCAAATTGTGAAAAAAAAAAAAAAAGTGAGCTCCACCAAAATAAAAAAAAAATTTGTGGTTCTCACTTAAAAAATTTTATAAGTCATTATAAAGAATCTAATATATATATATATATAATATTATAACATATAAAATTATGTGATAAGATCTACTTACATATAATTTTATGTGTATAATCTATTTTGATGACACATATGATAATTTTGAATATACAATTAGATAAAATTTTTTAAAACTTAGACGTACACTGTATCTAAATGAT